TTTGCAATACCTTGAAGAATGTTTAGTGCCAAAAATACGTAAATATCATTTTTAGAAACAGGTATCCATGTATTTGATGAAGTTCTTGGTTGCTATTCGGCATATCTATTGGCTTCATTTTCAATTATGTCCAATAAACCATTATCAAAAAAAGTTTGAAATATACCGAAATATGAAATGTACAATGCTTTACGAAAATCTATATTAGAACAGAAATTATAAAGAACCACATTAATTTCGTTAACACTTGCATAAAGGAAAACTTAACTCCATCTTTCGTTAAAATATCTAACAGAAACCTAAAGGAGAAAACAAAACAATTCATCTTGGGCAAACTGTTGCGTGATGAAAAACGAAAATACTTCAAAAACCTAAGTCATCAATACGAAAAACTGGCGAACATTCATAGAGACCTCAGGAAAATACTACATCTTCTTGAACTAGAGGAACTCATTCAAAATTCCACAACACAGACCGAAATAACAAAACGAGATGACCAAAGAAAGAAAGAAAATAAACTAAAAAATTTACGCAAAAACAAAAAGAACAATGACAAAAGACATACAGATAAACATCAAACCAGAAAGATCCAACATTAAAAATGAGATCATTTCGCTTATTAAAAAGTCAGAAAATAAAATCATTAAATCGATAATTACATTAAATCGAGCAGGAATTGTAATCATCAATAAAGAAGAATCGACAAAACTTTAACATTCATGAGAAACAACAATTATAAAAAACTAGAAAAGTCTCCACTAAATACATCAGGATGACAAAAGAAATTATCAAAAAATGTAAAGAGGTTTTAGTTCATTTTTCACCACATCTTAACATATCGCCAAACAACATATATATCATACAAAAATTCATACATATGAATCCAAAAATTCCTAGATTATATTCATTACCTAAAGTACATAAACAAGTCATGCCAATTCTCCTACATCAAAAATTGCACAATTTTTATTGAATATTTTTCAACAAATCGATGTCAAACTTGAATACAGTATCAAAAATTCAAGACAATTTATTGAAAAAACCTCTGATATCGATACAACTAATTTCTTTCGACGTTACCAACTTATATTCGAACGTTCCTATAGAATATACTTTGAACATAATAGATATAATTTTTAGAAAACATTTTGAAAATGATAAAGTTGTCTCCCAGCTTAATTTATTACTACAACATGTAGTCTCTCAAAATTATTGTTGTTTTAATGATGAAACGAATGAGATAACCGAAGGACTACCAATGGGTATGCCCCTTTCCGGTATTTTATATATGGGGCGGTGACCAAGATCAATTGGATAATTTTCACTTTTATCTGAATAATTTACATAAAAAACCTAAAATTCACTCTAGAAATTGAAATTAATAAAAACATTAATTTCATCGACCTAAACCTCGACCACTCTTCTGGAAGTATAAAATATAACATCTTTAGAAAACCTTCCATGATATCTACAATAATACCTTACAATTCAGCACACCCTTTGTCTCAAAAGCTTTCTAGTTTTCACTATTACATCAACAGAGCTCTAGACTTAATTTTATACAACAATTGGCCATAGATAACGGGTATTCCCCTAAACTGATAGACAGCTTGTTTAGTAAAATTAAAAAATAAAGGACCTAAAAAGGGTATGAAACAAGAAAAAGAAACAATATACAAAGCTGTTCCATACAATTCCATTACTCATCAAGCGACGGAAATCTTTGCTAAATATAACATAACGTTAGCTTTTAATAACAAAAACTCTATACCATTGAGGTCTTATATACAGGGTGATTCATAAGTAATGGGCCAAATTGTAAATGTACGTTCAGGAGGCCAAAATAATAATATTTTCATTAACAATAATGGGTCTTAGTCTGCTCCTTACTGAGATACAGGATGTTAAAGCGAAAAAAATAAAATAGATTTTTGTTAATAGATCAGCTACTTTTCTACATAATGACTCATAGTTGACTTATAGTTTTTGTAAGGGTAAACAATAATGTGTGAGAGGATTTGAGTTAACTCGTAGATGTCGCCACATGCGCCATATGAATTATAAAACGTCAATGAGCTTTTACGTTTAATGAATAGTTTAAAACATTTTATTGTTAAGTAAACTGATTCATTCTTGTCCTAACATAAATCAAAATGCCGAGACATAATCACTTTTCAAACGAAGAAATGAGAGACATGTTATGCGTTTACGCACAAGAACGTTTTTCTGGGCAAGCAGCATCCAGAAAATATCGTGAAATGTACCCTTACAGAAGGCAGCCAAACCGGAAGATATTTCAAAATATTTATAATCGATTGGGTGAAACAGGTTCATTTCGTCCAAAATATCATACAGGACGTCCTAAGATTATCACTCCGCAGCAAGAAGATGAAATTTTGGTAAGAATTGCGCAAAATTCTGAAATAAGCACTCGTCGATTGTCTGCAGCAACTGGAATAAGCCAACCATCCGTGACTAGAATTTTACACAAGGAAAATTTATATCCCTATCATTTTATACCTGTGCAAAATTTACTTCCAACAGATTATCGAATCAGAGTTCAATTTTGTCAGTGGCTAAAAGGAAAATTGAATAATAATCCAACATTCCTAAATAACATTCTTTTCACGGATGAAGCAACCTTTACCAGACGCGGAGTTTTTAATTGGCGAAATAGTCATGCCTGGGAAACCGAAAACCCTCGTTTAAAAAAAGATAGACATTTCCAGCACGAGTTTAAAATAAATGTGTGGTGCGGTGTAATAGGCAATACATTACTGGGCCCAGTTGAATTACCTCCTAATTTAAATGGAGAGTCATATTTAATTTTTTTAAATAATGACTTAGTCGACCTCTTGGGAGATCTTCCATTACAACTAAGAAGAAATATGTGGTTCATGCAAGACGGTGCTCCTCCACATTTTTCACGTGCTGTGCGCGAACATCTGAATGAAACATTCCCTCACCGTTGGATTGGACGTGGTAGTGAATTTCAGTGGCCACCTCGCAGTCCCGATTTTAATCCACTTGATTTTTATGTGTGGGGTTACATGAAATCAATGGTCTATGCTGAACCTACTATAAATACACGAGACGAGTTATGGAATAGAATTCAAGATGCAGCCAATTCAATACGAAATAATCCTGCTACATTTTTTAAAGTCAGACAATCCTTAACCAAACGGTTAAATGCGTGTATAAATGCTGGTGGTGGTCATGTTGAAAACCTTTTGCAGTAGCTCATAATTAAGCTTAAATTTAATTTAACTTCGCACAACATTAACATGTAGGTTTTGATAACAGTTGTCGTAAGTGGTCTTAGTTCAAGTCTGTTCTAATGTTGTATTTCGTTTTATTAACTGGCGTACAATAAATTGTTTTATTACGTAATTTTTTTATGGTTTCAGTTTAATATTGTTATCAATTATCAATTACGGTTAGGTAAATGTCAACATTCCATGCCATGCTTGTGTCTTAACAGATTAATGCTACGTCGACCACCGTGAAATGTAGTGTAGTGAATTAGTAAAATTCAAATATCTCGAAAATCGTTAATATTTTCAAGATCAAAGAAGTATAGCTTTTTTCTACAGAAATGATGGGGCTATCCAAATTAAACAAGTATGTTGTAAAATAATGAGCGATAAAAAATTTGTAGCTGATTTCATCTAATTCATATGGCGCATGTGGCGACATCTACGAGTTAACTCAAATCCTCTCACACATTATTGTTTACCCTTACAAAAACTATAAGTCAACTATGAGTCATTATGTAGAAAAGTAGCTGATCTATTAACAAAAATCTATTTTATTTTTTTCGCTTTAACATCCTGTATCTCAGTAAGGAGCAGACTAAGACCCATTATTGTTAATGAAAATATTATTATTTTGGCCTCCTGAACGTACATTTACAATTTGGCCCATTACTTATGAATCACTCTGTATATAAGAATTTCGAATTTCCTGCTAAGTTGGTACATCTAACATGGCGACCTTTCTGGCTTCATTTTAAGCGTGGTGGGGGCAACAGCATACGCACTCTAGATTATATAAGACCTCAATGGGTTATTTAATGGTTATATTATGGAATATATTTCTTTTGGTCGATAGGTGGCAGTTTAGGAGTATTGCTTATAATATTGGCTAATAGATGAAGCTGTTGAATATTTAATGTAGCTTCAGATTTCTGAACATAACACAAGTGGCATTAACTGATAACATTCTATATTGTTATAACTAATACTGATAACTATTATATAACTATTTTATAGTAGATCGAGACGCAACTATAAAATAATTGAAGAAGACTAATATATTATATAAATTGTGCCTATTTTGGTGTATCGTTGTTTTATAAACATTTTTATTACATTGCTGAGACTAAATATGTTATATAAATATAGTTGGGTAGAGCTAGAACTAGAAACATTCTGGTTTAGCCGAACGTCTTTTAAGACGACTAAACCCGAATGATTCTAGTTCTAAGTCTACTATTAATTCTAATTTTAGCCTGAAGACGCACGGCTAAGTCCGAAACTTTCTAGTTCTAAGTGTAGTGTTAGTTTATAGATAATGTTAGAGTTAACCCTAAAAGTCTTCATACTTATGTTATTTCGTTGTTGGTACTAAATTAAACAATAACCCATTAGTACTGGACGATGGGGTAGTTGGGGGTTTGGATAGTGGTGGTTGAAGCCCCCGGAGCGTCCGCCAGCCGGTTTATCATTTCGCATTAGCGCTTAGCGGCTAAACGCTGAGTGATATAGGAGAGCCATAAATCGACGGCGACCACCGCGTCGCACGCACGTCAGGTGGCGCCGCGACGCCCCTCGCTACCGCCACCGCTAATCCATTCATGATTAACACTATAAATCTGCGCGGGATTACGTGGGGATGCGCCGCTACTATATATGTATATATGTCCGAATGCACCCATCCCATATTAATTGATGTACACGTTCAAAACTTCAATCAAGATTAATTTTTTCCCGTTGTTGTAGGTATGGTTTAAAAATCGCCGAGCAAAGTGGAGGAAACGCGAAAGGAACGCGATGAACGCCATGAATGCAGCCGCTGATTTCAAGACTGGATTCGGGAGCCAATTTAACGGATTGATGCCGTCGTTTTCCGACGCTGACATCTACTCTTCGTACGGGTATAATAATTGGGCGAAGGTGCCGAGTCCGTTGGGAACGAAACCGTTTTGGCCGGTGGTGCCCACGAATCATCATCAAGGTCACAGTTTACCAGGATTCAACACGGCAACTTCCGTAGCGGCGGCTTCTATGTCTGGAGCTGCACCCACCATGCTTCCTGGTGCCATGGGCACGGGATTAACGAGCACACCATCTGCGGTAGCTGCACAATCGTGCCCTTATACGACCCCTACTAACCCTTATGTGTATCATCACAGGCCTGGTACTGAGTCTTGTATGTCAACCAGCATTGCTTCCCTAAGGTTGAAGGCCAAACAGCACACGGGATTCGTCGGATATTCCGGAGTCAGCCCTGTAAGATCCGGATCAGGTGGACTATCAGCTTGTCAATACGCTGGAAGTTCTTTGGGGGTCGCAGAGAGACCCGGCTGAGATCTGTTCGCCCCCAATACCATCGGGGGTGTCAAACAAGAACAGGACTCGTAATAATCATAAAAAAATAGTAACAATAATTAAATACCTAAAAAATAATTAATTTTAATCGAAAGTGTACATAAAAATATACAAAACTGTGGACTCTCAATCAAAAGACGAGGTGTTGTGCCCAGTGATACTTAAGAAAATGTGCGCATAGCAATAGATTAAAACGAATTAAACTTAAAAAAAATAATTTAGAACCCCCTACACATACAACATACAGAAATTAACAACACCCCCCCCGTTTAAGTTCTAAATAGCTCGATTTTTTTTTTTTTTAAATATTTAGTGCGGTATTAATTTTGTTAATGAGGGACTTTCCAAGTGCAATGTAAAGCTTTGTAAAACACTACGGGACTGATTATGAGAATCGGAACGAGTAAATTATTCAAACTTGTAATATATCAGCGAGTAGTTTATCGTTTGTAATTCAATATTTTCATCTAGTCATAATAAAAATTATTCCATATCGAGAGAATTTATTGGCGTTTTATTTATTACTTTCTATCTTTCAGAATGAGCAATTTTTTTCATACAATTTTATCTCTATGAAACGAAACGAAAAAAAAAAATAAATAACAAAAAAGGTAAGTAATTATTTTATTTTCAGATAAGATTATTTCACGATTAGATTAACTATTATTATAAATTCTTATTATATTTTGATTAATAATTTGGAGAAACGAATTTTGAAATGAGACAAAGGTGTAATAAAAGAAGTAAGGTTTTACTGCTCGCGCCATTCGACCATTTTTACGCCCGTCCTCATTCCGTTTTTATGTTCCTTATTTATCCACCCTTGCACACGTCACTTTCAGTATTTTACAATCTAATCATGGGGAACGCACTGCGGTAATCCCGCGTTATTTCTCTCAGCCGCCGCTGCCGTCGTCCTCGTGCTCTGCGCTGCAAGCCACCCTCAGTACGTTTCCATTTGGTTCTATGGGGGGAGGGATCGTTCCAAAACCCCCCTCTGCGACACGACGCCCGCCACCAGGATCAGAATATAAAATAAACTAAAGGCACGAACCCCAACATAGTCTAAGAGTGGAGGAAATCATCCCCCTTTTCTCCTCGATTCGTTTCCGTCCCCCATTTCGGTGCTCCCCTCGTTCATATTTCGTTTTGTAGGGTTGAGTTTTTCGGGCGGAGACGCTGTAGATGGCGCGAGACCAAAAAGGATATTTTTCAGGAAGTTTTTTTCCCCTTCTAAGTGAAAGCAAATCGAGCGAGGATTCCTATAAAATTGGGGTCTTTTTTTATTTTCATTTTAATTATTAGATACAGGTTTCTGCCATCAGTATCTCGTCTTCTATCATCAATATTTAGTCTTCTGCTAGTAGCATCTAACGTTCTGCATGTAATATTTAATCATGTATAAGTAACGGGAATTATTTAAAACTCCTAATCCAAGTATCTCTGGAATGGATCGAGATAGATACAGCAAAAAGATCGATATAATAGACTAGAATAGAGAATGGTCGAAACTGTATTTTTACATAGATAACTCAAAATGGCCAAAAAGTGACTTAGATTGTTTCAGCAACGTCTCTTAAGACGGCTATTCATCGAAATTGTTTCACTCCATCATCTTCAGGCAACAACAAATTATTACCTATAATAATGTTAGAAGTGCAAAATTTTGATAATTCATCAGCTTTTCTTTCTTAGGTTGGTAAAAATCAAAGACAGGAACAATTTTTTATGGATTTCCACACCCTCGGCTCCAGATGACGTTTTAATTAAGAAGAGAGAAATCACAGACGTTACGTTCGCTCAAATCTGAGTGACGTACTTTGGAGTTCGCGCCCTCTAATTTCAAAATTAAAATTTTTTTTTTTTAAAACTAAGCCTCAGAATCAAATAAAAAAAATATAAGGTCAATCAATTTTTAAAAACTTTCGAATAAACCAATAAAAATACCTAACTATTGTGTTAAAATCGCGAAACTCTGAAAATTCTTCAATTTTAGTTCCTAGGTTGGTAATAACTAACGACAATGACAAACCTCTTATGGATTATAGTTTTTGAGTTGATTATTAATGCTTTTTATCTAAAACATTTCACTCCATCACTTTCAGTCTTTAATTTACTACCTACAATAGTGTTAAAATCGAAAAACCCTAAAAATTCTTCAATATTAATTCCCTAGGTTGGTAATAAACAATGACGGGGACAAATCTCTTATGGATTATAATTTTTGAGTTGATTATGATTATTTTTTATCTAAACTATTTCACTCCAGATAATAAGTTATCTATAACAATGTTAGAAATGCAAAATTCTACAAATTCATCAGTTTGCGTTTCCTAGGTTGGTAACAATCAATGCTAAGGACAAATCGTTTATGGAATATAACTTATAAGTTGATTACCAATGTTTTTTATCTAAACCATTTCATTCCATCGCTTTCAGTTTTTAATTTATTACCTATAATAGTGTTAAAATCGGAAAAACCTGAAAATTCTTCAATATTAGTTCCCTAGGTTGGTAATAAACAATGACGGGGACAAATCTCTTATGGATTATAGTTTTTGAGTTGATTATGATTATTTTTCATCTAAACTATTTCACTCCATCATCTTTAGGTCGTAACTTATTATCTATAATAATGTTAGAAATGCAAAATTCTGAAAATTCATCACCTTTTATTGCCTAGGTTGGTAGCAACCAATGCTAAGAACAAATCGTTTATGGGATATTATGTATGAGTTAATTATCAATGTTTTTATCTAAACCATTTTACTCCATCACTTTCAGTCTTTCATTTATTACCTATAATAGTGTTAAAAACGCGAAACTCTTTCTTAAAATTCTTCAGTTTTAGTTCCTAAGTTGATAATAACTAATGACATGGTCAAATCTTTTATGGATTATAATTTTTACGTTTATTATGAATGTTTTTCATCTAAACGATTTCACTCCATCATCTTCAGGCCGTAATTTATTACTTATTATAATGTTAGAAATGCGAAAGAAGAATTATCAACTCTAAACAAAAGATCGGTTTATACATAGTAAATTGTAGCAGTTGTGAAAAAGTATACATAGGCCAGACGGGACATAATCTCAACATTAGAATCAAAGAACACATATCAAAAGAAACCTCTTCTGTATTTAAACACACATCTGACACAGGTCATAATTTCTACAAAAATTCAATAAGTCTTGTTAGATAGCTTCCAAAATCTAAAAAATTGGATTTATATGAAGAAATGGAATTATCTAAATATAATAATAATAACAAAGAATTATTAATGAACGAAGCTACGGATATAAATCCTTACCGTTTGTTTATGCCTTTTATAAATTCACCACCTAAACCTGTTTCCGAAAATCTTCCATGTTAGAATAATGCAAAAGTTTCGCATACCAGTTACTTTTCGACAGTTGCAGATATAAGATATTTTTGTGATCTTGTTCGATTTTTTCATTTTTAACATTAATTTTAACGTGTAAGTTCATCGTAACAATTTTTTGTAAATTTAATAATGCTGGGAGAAATTCAAAATTTAATTGAAATTGGCCGCTATTAATTGACGGTAAATAATTATCTCATGTTTGGGTTTTTGTAAATTTAAAAAAATTTATTACTCATGTTTTGTCGCAACAACCTGATGATGGAAACACTTTTTTCGAAACCGGTAGTTGAGAACAAATAAATTACATTCTTCGGAATTTTTAATTTTTTTATATTTAACTTTGTTTCTTAGGTTGGTAAAAATCAAAGATAAGGACAATTTTTTATAGGTTATAATTTATGAGTTGATTATTAACGTTTTTTATCAAAATCATTTCACTCCATCGCTTTCAGCTTTTAATTTATTACCTATAATAGTGTTATAAACGGTCACGGTGTATACGTATTAAACTAGAACTAACACTGGACCTAGAACTAGAAGCATTCGGGTTTAGCCGAACGTCTCTTAAGACGGCTAAACCCGAATGATTCTAGTTCTGTGTAGTGTTGGTTCTAGTTTTACTTCAATACAAATATATAACAACCTAACACTGAATAACAACCACAACTAGAACTAGCCGAAAACCTAGAACTAGAAGCATTCGGGATTAGCCGAACTTCTCTTAAGACGGCTAAACCCGAATGATTTTAATTCTAGGTATAGTGTTAGTTCTACTTCAATACAAATATACAATAATCTAGCGCTTTATAACAGTTAAAACTAGAACTAACACTAGACCTAGAAATGGAAGCATTAGGATTTAGCAGAAAGTCTCTTAAGACGGCTAAACCCAAATGATCCTAGTTCTCGGCGTAGGTGTTGGTTCTAGTTTTAGTTCAATACAAATATACAACAATCTAACGCTGAATAACAACCACAACTAGAACTAACACAAGACCTAGAAGCATTCGGATTTACCCAAACGTCTCTTAAGAGGGCTATTCATCCTAATTGTTTCACTCCATCATCTTCAGGCAGTTATTCAGTAGCAAGTTATTACTTATAATAATGTTAGTGTAGTGTGCCATGTAAAAATTGTTTTAAAAAATGATTTGTTATATAATGAAAATGCTAACAGTATCACTCAACCTTAGGAGAGATTATCCATTCATTTTTACCGTGGCCAACGTTAGTAAACCAATAATTGGTGCCGATTTCTTAACTAGATTCGGTATCTCTTAGTTGATGTTAAGAATAGGAAACTAATCGATAAGGAAACAAATATTTTCTCTATTGGTTCTTGTATCAAAAGCGACGTTCCATCACCCAAAATTTTCTTCTTTGAATCAAAATTTTCAAACATTTTAAAATCATTTCTAATATTAACTACATCGCCTGATTTCTCAACTCCCGTTACACACAACACTGAACACAAAATTATTACTAATTGATATCTTCCGTTTTGCCGTCTCCTACGTTTGGATATGCGTAAGCTAAAAAAGAATTCCAACAAATGGTCGCTATGGGCATTATCAAAAATCTCTATCAAAAACAATTTCATCAACTTCTTGGACACTGTAACACGACAACGCTTTTTCTTCAGCCAAAGATATTTTATCAAAATCTATCTTTCTAGGACATCCCTCTTCACACACTACCCTATCAATATCAACTGATGCATCTAACACAGGTATGGGAGCAGTTTTAACACAAACCATCAATGGAAAATCTCAACCATTAGCATTCATTTCCAAAAAATTTCCTTCATGCGATCTACTCTGCTATCAAATGTTTCAAACATTCCTTACATGGAAATCAATTTATGATATATACAGATCACAAATCCATTGTCACATAAATTTTTTCATCCACAGACAAAACTCCTCGTCAAACCCGATATCTAAGTTATATTGCACAATTTACTTCAGATATCAAAAACATCAGAGGAAAACAAATATCGGATCTCTAAATTCATCTTATCCAAATTTTCTAACCCTTAGCAACGCTCAACTTGCTGACACAGAATTGTCAAACTTACTGAATAAGCAATTTTCCAACAATCCTTCAAAATCTTATC